TGCAAAATGAACAATAAGGGGATCCCCAAAGTCATTAGGATTCATGCTTTGAGGATCATGAATGTCTATACTACAACACATGATAATCCATCCAGTTGTTGTTGAGATATTCCAAGGGACCAATGTGATACAGCTAAATACAATGATAGAGATTATTCAAGCAGTAAACATAAAAGCAATGGTCAAAGCTACGAAAATTAGTTGTAATAAACTGGAATTATCCTTTAATGCTCTATGCTTGAAACTAACGGTCAATGGTTGTATAATTGTCTCTGTCCCAGTTTCGCCTGGTGTGCGTCTCGTATGGACCGGAACATGATCACCGTGATGACGGGGCAAGTGGTTGACTTCTTTGACCAGGACTTCCGTGAGCTTTACGCCATCTCTGAGAAGCTAAATCTCTACAAGGAGTTCCATGTCAGCCCACCTGCTGCCAACACAGCAATACGCTCCAAAGTGGGCTCCATACGCCCACCTCTACCGGCAACAACTTCCCGCTTCCAGGTTAGCTTAGGGGATTCGCGGAAAGTTAACATTGAGATACCTGCACACAAATTCTACAACCCGAAATACTCACTGGTATTTGGGGACATCCCACGTCCACCAGGGTCTCTGCAGGAGCGCGGACCCAAGAGAGGGTCAGCTCTGGCTGAGGTTCCTGAGGAAATGGACCCAGGAAGGCCACAAGTGGCCAGCAGTGAGAGGGTGGAACGGCTGAGTCCGGTGTCCTCAGAACCCCTGAGTGACAGCTTCCAGAGGCCAAACGGACTCGAGCAGGACAAGAAGGGGCGATTCACATGGAGGCAGAAATTCTCTAGAGTGAAAAAGCCCAGTAAGCCTTTGGACAGCAACCAGGCTGGCAGTGCTTGTCCTTCACCCACAGAAACCAATAGGACGGATGAGAACGAGGACAACTTTGAGGTGATCGTGAAATCTCCATCCAAATGGAAGGGTAAAAAGCCAGCTAAAGTGGGCAAGAGGACAGACTCTGAGCAAACCATCAGCACTGTACAGGACGATGACAGTAAGTCTGGAATAAAGTGGATAATAATGACTGAATACAGAATAAACAAATAACCTAATCCAGTGGTTCAAAACATGGTAAATCTGAGGGGTCACGAGACAATTCTTGATGAATTGAAGTCATAGGGGGCCGTGTTTACCAACAGAAAAACTAAATCAAAGCATCATTTAAAAAACACAACTCAAGCTGTATAACCCAAGGCATAAGCAGCGCAGGCTCACTACTCGTCCATGCGTAAGACTGTTTATGTGGAAGTGTTTTATATAGTAAGGTTTTAGCAAAACTGCACGTGGAGAATACTAACCATACGACTAAATAATTGAGACGTAGATTATACTGCAAGATCTGTGTGAGTGTGTCTTAAACGGATGTTTCGATACAGTTTTGTTGTTGCTAAATGCGGCTCCCAACAACTTGAATTCATCTAGAATAGTGGTTCCCAGCTGGTGGTCCAAAGTGGGTCACAAGTCCATTCTGAATGGACCGCAAGTATCTCACAAACATGTCAAGTTTGTAAAAAAAACACACTTTATTTTAGGTAGTGACTATCTAGCACAGAGCGTTTACTTTGAAGTGCCATTTCCTGCTGTAGAGTGACTACTGGACAGCAACTTGACAGAGACAGCAAATTAGCTCAATGATGGGGCCGAATATAGGTTTGACACTGAATATATCAAACTGTTAACCTGGAAATCCAGACCCAAATCTAGAAAGATTTAGGGTCTGGCCATGAGTAATGAAAATGGCCCAACTTGAGCAGCGGCACCAAGCATGCATTTGAAAATATCACTGCACGCAACTGGATAACACTATGACCAATCAGAACAATACAGAGGATGACGTATCCAGAGCTTAGCTACCAGCGGAGCTAACTGGTAGATTAGACTCTTGCCGTATCGGCAAAACAGCAAAAACGTCCTTCTTGCAAAGGAAAGACTCGAGCGCCGTCTTCTGTTCCTCTTTTAGAGAAAAAGCCAAGTCTAACTCGTTCATTGTAGCGGCCAAAGCCGTTTCAAACAACTGGTGTTCATCCGTAGCCATCTTGCAATGTTTACTGACTGATTCCGGACTTCGCTGTCGCAGCGCTGTCGTCATATGTTTAGCTCGCCTCTGGCCCGCCTATATCAGATACACCAATGTGATTGGTGCAGCTCAGCTCCAATGGCAAGGGTAATGAGCATCATTACTGATTGCCAGAGTGACTCGCTGAGCAAATTCAAATTGTGCTCTCGTGAGAACTCTGGATTTCCAGGGTATCAAACTGTGTGGACCTTGAACTAATGACTAAGGAGAAATCTGGACCCTGTGGCTCGACCGGTTGGAAACCGCTGATCTAGAAAAATCTCAGTTTTTGGAGTCTTAGTCATATATATGCTGTAAAATAAAGTGGTAACATGTTTACAGATGTTATCCTCTATAGATAGACTCTACATAATAATCTCTTTGGCCTCATTAATCTCTTCTTTTCTTACAGGTGTTAAGAGTCGACGTCGAGGGAAACAGGCATGTAAAGTGTCCTGAGATAATCCAGTCAGTCTTTGTCCACAGAATGGATTGCATTCGGAAAATGGATTCCAAATTGACTCCCTCGACACTAATGTTACTTTTAGTTGTACGTTATTGTAAATATTTTATCCAGTGCCTTCAAAAAGGACCAAATTAACATGCAGCTCTTGAGGCACTGATACTTTCAGTTTTTCAAGGTTTGGTGCCAAATTTAAAATGCTGAATCAATAATCAACATGCTAGGTGATAGCTGTTGCTCTTGTCGGGTGCAGAAAGGTTTAATGAGATATTCGCCGGTGATCATTGCAACTTGATTTCTTCTGGATGTTTTTTGGCTATGTGGATACACGGCTAAGTGCTTGTCTGGAGGACACTGAATGTAAAGTTGGTGAAATGCACTTTTAGTACACTAAACATGAAATAAGTCGACTTAATTTTGCACACATAGACAGTGCTCAGGTACAAGAGAATTTAAAGGAAGCATTTTTCTGAAGTTACACATTTATACACCCCTGCAGACATCCAAATGGTGAACCTCAGCTGCCCTTTCAAAATAAGAGTTCAGACCTGCAGGGTAGTGATCGAAGTAGGGAAGACGCCCTCTGACAAAACTAAAGCACAACCTTGTAAGGCCTTTTTCTGATCTCTCTGTTTGATCAAATAAAACTGAACCAAAAGAAAGTTTTACAATTATCTCCCTGTTTCACCCTTGGTGGTGAGGTCTTTCTATGTATACAGTACTTTACTACCTTCTTACTTTGTTGCAGTCGCAGTGTCCTTTGCCAGTTTTTAAAGTTGTGATATATCTTCGTAAGTGTTTTCAATAAATTGTTTCCGACAACAAACAGTTTAAATGTGCCGTGTTGAACTGTTGTGTTAAAATTCCTCAGAATTTCCTTGTGTGAAAGCTGTTTTTCAAATTTTGTATTACATTTTCTTTTGGCTTTCAGGACTCATGTTGATTTAAACATGAGGCATCACTTTGATGATAGCTCCACCCAGTGGCGAGGCACGGCACTACAACATTTAAGCTGGACAGCTGATGATTGCACTGCACAAACCTACCGCCAGCTGCCTCCCTTGTCCTCCCTCTGCTTCTCTTTTTCAGACCTCAGAGAGGAAGCGCAGGCCTGATGGTAACTCGTGCTGAGTTGAGGGTGGAGGGGGGGTTGTCAAAGGAGGGGGGTTGTCAAAGGAGGGGGGGTTGCAAGTTGGATGTGGTGCAACACTGAAACAGGAAGTCAAAGCTGCAGAAGGAAGAGGCGTTTACTAATTTTATAGACTAGTTTTACTGACACACAGCAGGCACGAAAATATGTTATTTCCTGTTTGCATCTTAATGTTTATCTTAAAATACTGCAGAATGAAATCGAGGTCTTGTCAGTCAGAAGTCTTTATTTTCAAGATGACATGTATTCCAAATAGCCGAAATATCTTTAAATTCCTCACCTAGTAGACATAAGTTTGATTTAAACAGACATACATTACAGCATGATAGTAAATAATCACCCACACCTCACACAAGTGGGCTGAATTGCTTCTTCTTTTAATGTAGTCTTCATTTGAATTGTTACAAACGACACGTTTCACCCACGGCTTCATCGAGTTTGTTCCAATGCACAGGTGTTTTTAACAAGGCTGCAGCTGCACTGAATCCAATCAGCCACAGGGTGGATCATGTGCTGTGCCGACTCAATATATGTTACTGTACACATGCCCAGCACCCAAGAACACCCCATATCTGGTGTAGACACATTGCAGTGCAAACACCCCACAATAGACAATTTAATTTAATCATATCTCCAATTATATCCCTCTACATTAAGGGGAAGGTGAGGTGCAGTTTAAGGTATTTTGACATGTATTTAAAGGTGTGGATGGGATATCTAGACAATGCAGGTTGAATCGAAATGTTTTATACAGAAAATAAGTTTTGAGCCTAGACAATAAACACAATAGATTTTTAACTGAACAGTGGGTATGGGATAAATGTAGTTTTGTAGTTTTAACAGTATTAAGTCGATTGTTTTCAGTGCATTGCCCCCAACACACTAGCGTCATGTTAACTAGATGTCTAAATAACCCAATAAATAGCCAGATTTTAAGTATGTTTTAATACATCAAGAATAAGTTGCAATTTTTTAACTGTATGTGAGAATTTCTCAAATGAAGAAGGCCAGAGGAGGCTGCACAGAGCATGTGTCAGTGCGACAAAATTAATCAAATTCGATGTTTTCTAAACCTGTATGTGTGATATTGCATAAAACCACAAATGTGGTTTAGGTGCTTCACTCTTCAAGAAGCACATGGAAGGATACGAACTGAGCATGTCAACACACACACACACACACACACACACACACACAGACGTAAACATGAGAAACTGAGGTGTGGTCTCATGGTTTCAGAGTGCGTTCACCCGAAAACACAGCTGTCAGTTTGCTCCTTAAACCAAAAACAGGATCCAGTCTTACATGTCAACAGGCAATGGAATACTTTTTATTAAATAATTCATGAGAACATAACATGCAATAATTACAATGATGCAAAATATTAGGTACAGCTAACAGATTTCTTTCAAATATTACAGTGTACACATTGCAATTAAATCAAATAAAGACAGAATGCAGGCTGCACTTATTGCACTGTGCTAAGAAGGTACAGTACGTAAAATAGAAGAAAATGCACGGTTGGACTGATTGGAACAAGTTCTCTGCATTTTAAGGCAAATACCATCCCACTCTATAAAGTACTAGAAATTGTCATTAAAAAAAAAGAATTTCCTTAAATGTTTGAAAATATATCTGTATTTACAAAATGAAGCATAAGCAACCGTCCTTAAATGACACCTAACCAGAACAGTAGCGTATGATCTAGAGCTTTGGTGATCTACTGAACAATAAAGTAGTTTACTGTTACTTTACTTTCTGAGCCTTTTGAGAACTGTTAGGAAGCTGAGAAACGTCTTCCCTTTTTATATCATGCATACAGTTGATCTGACATCACATGCTTAATTTGTCCTCTTGGTCCTAGAAACGTAATCTTGTGGAGCACAGATATCAACTAAAAAATCAACTTCTTGGACAGACACATTGACAAGTTCTACGTAGCTTGTTGTGCTGACAGTGAGAGCAACAAATATGAGTCAACATGTTCACCTTTGACACTGTTTTGTTCAGTCTGTAAAAAAGAGAAGTGGAAAGAGAAGTCCATCTTTTAGTCAAAGATCACAGACCAGAGTCAGTGTCTAGTCTCCAGTGTCCCTGCTCAGTTGTGTTGCGGGGTGTTAAATACAACTTAAAGTGGGGCTGAATCCCACTGTGGTGCAGTACTGTAAACGTCCATAGGGGGCGCTGGACAGTTCAGTCTTGAGGAGCTTGGTTTATCACCTTCTTCTTACGGACTGAAACCAAGTCGTAGAATGGATCCTTGGTGATACTCGCTCTGTTTAAAGTAAAGAAGAGCATCATTACAGAGAGGACAATTTTAGCTTTAAACCATCATAGTGAGGTCATGTCTGCATTGTGAGGACATGTTAGTTGGTCGTACTACAATAAAGGACTGTTTGAAGACTTGGTTTTGATATTGAATAGGGCTAGGTTAGGTTTAGGTTAAGGTAAGGGTTAAGGGGGATTTATACTTGTGCGGCACACCCTACACCGTAGCCTACACCGTTGTGAGCATTTATACTTTAGCGGTGCTGTGTATGTGTCGCTCTGCAGTTACACCTTCAAAACACTAGTCGGCAGAGGTTTCTGTCAAGTGCGGTAAAGTTTCATTGATTCAAAACACACATTAAACACACGCTAAACACACGTTAAACATGGCTTAATAGAGACAATTTCAAACACACAGGGATTTCAAGTACACAAATCGGCTCCACTGTAACTCGCAGCATTCACAGACAAAACACTTGTCTTTATCTGGACACATTTTCCCAACAAATACAACATGGTAATGTTATTAGCACAAGCCTATGGCATTTTACATTGTATAAATTAGCCTAGTGGCTAGCAGACCTCTCTCTACTCATATGAAGCCAGGGACAACAGCAACATTTAACACAGGTAATGATTCAAAATTCAGCTCCATTACAACTCACAAGGTTCACTGACAAAACAACTGTCTTATACTAAACACGTTTTCCCAACAAATACAACATGCTAATGTGATTAGCACAAGCCTATGGCATTTTACATTGTATAAATTAGCCTAGCAATGAGCGGAGATTTCCTCTGCTCATATGAAGCCAGGATAAATCCTGAAGTATAAATCTTTATTGTCTTTACAATTTAGTGTTTCTTATCTATGAAATTAAAGTAAACTAGTCCATACCCATTGGTAGCTTTGTCACCTTCTACCTATGCCAATCCTCAATGCCTATGTGCAGTTTCACATAGATTGACCACGTCAGTGAGTAGAAAAACGTGGGACAGACAGAATGACTGACTGACAGAATGACACACTGACAGTTTCCGTGATTATGTACAGCATACCATACCATGACTTAGTCATACCAAAAATTAGAAAAAAAAACAAAACATTGGTCCACAGGGGGAGCCACAGCGATCGGTCGCATTTTAGCCATTTTTAAGCATTTTTCTGTTGTTATAGCGCCACCCAGTTGCCAATTAGAGTTAAATTTCTCCAGTCACCTTGAGGCGTCCTGTTCTACATATATACCAAGTTTAGTAAAAATCCATATGGCCTTTAGGCCTAGATAAGAAATTAGCTCTCTAGCGCCCCCATTTTGTTTGATGGGGTCAATAATGGAGGGGTCCCCTCAGATTATGTGTGGTCATATGCCTACAAAGTTGCGTGGTGATCGGTGAAACCCTTGAGATGTTATACACCTTTATGTGATGAGCCACGCCCTCCACAATATTCATTGCCTTATAGAAGCTCAGTTTTAGTAAGTTTTCCAACTTTTGCCAAGAGGGAACTTTAGATATTGGTCCCTAGATTATGTTCACTGAGTTTCATGCAGATCGCTCAAACTTCCTAGGAACAGATTGATTTTAAGTGTTTTTCAAAAAATTCAAAATGGCGGAAAATCTATATAAGCGGAAGTTATGGGTTCTTGAAGCAAATGTGTTCCGCACGAGGAGAGGCATCTCTGTGCAAAGTGTCTCTATGTCTCTACGACATACGGGGCATGAGATTTGCCCATTCAAAGTTTGCAATTTCAATCGGTTGCTATAGCGCCCCCCTTTGGCCAATTGATGTAATATTGCTTCATTAGCATCCTCCCATGACCCTCTACCACTGTGCCAAATTTCACATGGATTGACCAAGTCAGTGAGGAGAAAAACGTGGAACAGACACCCACACACACCCACAGACAGAGTTTTTGTCATTATATAGTAAGATAAAAGCTTTGTTTCCACTGAGGGAAATGGTTTCAGCTTACAAGGTCCCCCTGCAGCCATGCCCATAGCTAACCCCCAGTCTTTTTATAGTGAGGATACTTATTTTAAACTCACAACGGGGGTATACTTTACGGGCCAGTAAGTTTTTTCTGTCCTGGGGACTTTCACTGCTATCTGTGGATCTGTGCATGCATTGTTACACAGTGTATTCTACTGAGTGTGGTTATGTACGTGATGCTGAATGTGTGGACATTTGCAAAACCATCCACATATTGGTGTACATGTGCGTGTGTGGTCTGACCTGATGGCCTCGATCCAGGAGTCTCTCTCCTCTGCGCTGGCAGCACAGATGGTGTAGGACTGGTGCTTCCCCTCCACCACTCTGCCGTCCGTCTCTGTTTTACATGCTTTGATCTTCTGTCCTCGACTGTTGGGGTTGTACAGCTCCAGACAGTACTAGATGACACCAGAACCGTGCGACAATCAATCTATAAATCTAAAATCTACTGACCAAATGTAAGAATTAAGCTGGAGATATACTTTTAACTACGCATTTGGATGTGCATGATTGTTGCCTCGCATATCCTGCTTCCATTTGGTGTGTTGGTCACACATCACCTGAAATTGCTACACCGATTGTCCGACCGATAGGGATGGTGTTGGCAAGAGAATCATAGATAGATGGAAATTTGTCTTTGGCTTCTCTCAAACACATAAAAGGTACAAACAGAGTGTCGCCATATTCACACAAATCCAGAAGTTCTGTACGATCTGAGTTCTCTAGTGTGCCCTCTAGTGGAATCATCAAGTAACGCGTGTAATACATAAGCAAGTATGTGAACAATTCCAATCACAATGCAGCTAAATTGTCTGCACAAACACATGGTTAAAAAAAACAAGTACATCTCTCGCAGGACGCCCCTTATTCAATACAATACACTATACCTTTAAACATGTCAGTGCTGACACAAATCGCTGCTGACAATATCTTACCGGTTTGCGGGGATATGGCACTTCTCTCACACAGAGGTTCTCTAGAGGGATGATGCCTCTGGGCTCTTTGTCCTGCAGACAGATTTAAAAGACAGGGACTGAGTCAGGTGATGTATCAGGAGGGCAAGAAGGAAGAGCTCAGAATAAAAATGTCACTGGCGTCACAAAAAGACGGAAAGCGGAAGAGATAGAGAATCCCATATTGTAAATAAAAAGTGAGCAGAGGAATGCTGAGGCTGGAAAGACTTTCAGATATACTGTGTCAAGGTAAAAGAAGCAGTGCGGGAGCCTTACAGTGGTGAACTCAAAGTAGTAGAGACAGTTGTCAGTCAGGATGAACCATCGCCTCTTCCATGTCTTAACCCGCCCTCCTGAAATACACAGAAAGCAAAAAAATGGAGATCTTTATATGCTCAGCTATTTGCTGTGCTGAAAACTAACAAGCATTAAAAAGTCTTACAACGTTACAACATGCTGACCAAGGTAATTTTTTTTTTAGGTCATTTGAAGTTAAACTTCTGCATAACCTAACACTGAGGTTATGAGGTTTGCATGCAAACACGCAAGGGTATACTCCATCATTGGGTCATTTTCTGACTGCTTCCTCTGTACTTTCCTGTTTTTAGCATTAAGTAGCAGCTCATATGTAATGTTGCACGACAGCATCAAGCTCACCTAAACCTCCCTTTTTTTGCTTTAGAAATTTTGGTGTTTAAATCTGTTTAACATCCAAAAATTAATCATAAAAACTACATATTGTGGAGAGGTGTTTTACCAAGTTTGAGGAGCCAGCCTTCTCTGTCAGGGTTGAAGAAGGTGTGAGTCAGATCATTCCCATCATCCTCTGGGATTTTGAAAGGCTCGTTGCGAATGCTCTCGTACAGTTTCTGAATAGAGAGGAGTTGAACAGGTAAGGACAAAGAAAAAGGCTAGCATTTAACTCTTGTACCATCCCCTGAACATAAATTTGAGCTAAAGCCTCCAACCAGAGAAATCACATTAAAAATATGACACAAATGTCTAAACAGGTCCAAATGTGTGGTCTTCTACTGACATATCAACGTCACAAATCACCAGCTAAAATACATATTATTCCATCCACCCAAACTGAGGTACCAAAGAACAAATATATCTCTACAGTATGTGTCTGCAGTTATGAGTGACACTGAATCGGTGGTTTTTGGTGAGACTGGGACATTGTTATGTTCACACATCTTTTATCTAACACCAGCCCACAGTCTGTAGCACTGTAAAATGCCACCACCTCCTGCAGACTACTGTTGGTTATGACTGACCTGCAGGAGGCCCTGAGAACAACCTGAGGGTAGTTACCTAGGCGAGTTTCTGTTCCACAGGAGGTGGTGATTGTCAGACAGTGGGGTTATTTTTCAAGCAGCGAAAGCACTGCATTGGTTTACAAAGTGCAGCAACATTCCGCGTTCCTATTTTTAACCTAATTTTCATTTTCATATTGGCATCTAACATCCCACAAAGAGTGATGTGTATGGCATGTATAAGCTCTTCTTGTGGTCCTGTATTGTACGGTAGGAAGAGATACCGTAAAGACCAGTTTGAAAAGGAGAAATCTATTACAATGTACATGTGGGCACTGGAGTATTGTTCAAGATGGACTTGAAAAACTCTAAACATATCCTTTAAAATACAGTTGTCCTTATACTGTGTATTATATTTCTAAAAAAAAAAATCCACTGTATGTTGCAATGTTTTTAGGCTTTTTTTTGCAATGAAGCTTTGGAGGTAAATAAATCGTCTTGGATTTGGAGCCTAATATTATGAACATTCAGTGTGTCCCACAGAATTAAAGTCTAGTTGAGATAGTTGGGGGCAGGAACAGCTCAACACCGATGCTGCTATTTGAAGCAGGGCTGAAGGACCTTTTCCATCAGCTGTTCTCGTCCTGTCATCCTTCCTCGGTTAGCACAAGCTAACACAGCAGCAGCGACTAACATCCAACACAGAGCCGACTTCTAACGGCCCCAACAATCTCACACCAACACCGAAACAGCTCGACTCCGTCATAACCAATTAATAAACACTGGAGCTCACTCACTGAGGAGCGGTATCGTACTGATTTAAGGGCTGGCTGCAGTAATCAAAGTCAAAGAGAGGGCCAATTTCTACGAGATAAAAATTTCAGCTGTATTGGCATTTGGGATATTACTTCCTGGTGTCTCGTTTGAACAATGTGACTGGCCAGTTGTTCTCACCGAGAGCAGGTCATTGGGTAGATCCTCTCCGTTGTTGATGCCTCTGTTCATGGAGATGAAACGCTCCAGAGTGGTCTTGTCTTTCACATTGGGGTTGTGGAGGCTGGTGTTGAGCATGATGATGGCAAATGACAGGATGTAGCATGTGTCTGGTGTTACAGAGGGAGATGCACACACACAAAGAATAAGAGACAGCAACATAATGTCATCCAGGTCATGGTAATCATAAGTACTATGTCGTAGGCAACTGGACTTGCTTGAGTTTCTTGAAGACATTAGAACTGAAGAAGCCTCTTGGATGAGATGAAACATCTTCAAGAAACTCAAGCAAGTCCAGTTGCCTATGATATAGCACTTAGTAATGCTCAGTGAAGAAGAGAAAGGTCTGGAGAGAAAACAGAGAGAGGTGATGTGGTCATTTTAACACATCCCCATACACACATATTCACACACATACACAGGGCCCAGACAGGAAGTGGACAGATGTATATTTAGTGAAGCTCACCGGTGGATTGGAAGACATGAGTGTTGCAGTCACAGTAGCGCGTGGCGAAGGCCTCCATCATGCGGTCGATCTTCTGGGCTTCACCAGGCAGACGGAAACTCCACAGGAACTGTCTGTCACATAAAGACCACGCTCACGTTAACCTCTGTCTGTAAGGTGTGCATGTTCGTTTAGGTTTGTGACCTGCATGTGAACGGCAGATGCACCTCACATTTGGAGGGCAAGTGTGTGTTGGTGGCAGGTGCACAGTTTCCAAAGTGACAATCAAGACACAGACTGTTAGTCATTAGTGTGACTTTATGTGAGAATGCTAACATTATCCGTACTACTTACAGTTTTGACCTACGTGCACTTAAACATGGATTTAGTGCTACCTGCTTCTACTTCACTATTGTTCCACTGTCCTCTGCATTCGGCTGTGTTGATTAAGGCAGCTATAGTTACTAGTTACTCTGCAAATTAATAATTTACATGCAAAGCATATGATCAGCTTATAAAATGACTCTTTACAGAAAATACTTCTGTACATTTTCCTTGACTCAGCAATTCAGAATTGCACTGCCATAAAGTTGGAGGACTTACAAGAGACTAAAGCTCAAAACACACTGGTGTCACTGTGATGCCTCATGATGTGAGTCAGGTTTTTCCCCCAACAAGTGTCATACTGCAGCATGTCAACAGAAGACCACACACAGTCATTACTACCTTTACTAAAGGAGCTGTGGGCCTACTTCTCCCACCTCTGATGTGTGGACACCCATTAATGATCTTCTCTGCCACTGTTTCTATAATGACAGGGTTGTGGCTCTTGTAGCTCGTGATATTTCTCAACTGCAACAAGTACTCTCACTTTTAAGACACAGCAACAGTAACAAGTGAGGAGAGGAGTTGAGCTGCCATGGTAGCAGAGAAGAGCTGCTATGGGAGCTGGGAGCAGGGAGCAGGGAGCAGGGAGTGTGTGGGGGCATAGGGAAAAAAATGTGTTTGATTCAGAGGCAGTGAAGCCCCCAGAGCCACAAACAACATCAAACAACTGTTTTCACGGGCTGAGTGGGACCCTCCATGACAAGTTAACAGATTTTTTTTTTTGTTTAAAATAGGTGAGACTGACTTCTGACTTCTTCCTTCTCTGCACCTTTCTGTCAGATAGTGCCACACTCAAACATGCCTCTGCCAGTCACTGATGCAGGCAGCAGTGTCACTTTCCACGGATGTGGCTGCTGATATTACAGTGCAAACAGCAGCCCCTCTCATACTCTGTCGGGAAACTCATTGTCACAAGTGTTGTGGCTGCTGGTTAGTCTGTTCAGTGTTGGTTAGTAACGTCAACGTAATATGGATTATGTTATACCACCTTTATACAACCATGGTAGAATGGTTAGTTTGATAGTAGTTACATTTTGGTGATTATGTGAAGACTTTTAAGTTAACCATAAATGTTTTCCTTTTTAGCCACAAAAAGGCAAGTCAGTGGTGTCAAATTGTGTCTCTAAACTGTGCATCCAAAAAGCTGTACAATAACTAGAGTTAGCGCGTCGCAGTTGTATGCCTCCGCAAGATAGTTAAGCTGCAGTTACTGTTTACATCCATGTATGTTCAGACACACATCTTCAACCCAGCAGCACAGAAGATCTGTACAATCACCACAGTTTCAAGGTGAAAGGATTAGTGTCACCAATACAGCACTGACCAAATGTCTCCCCTCCTGTTCCTGAGTTAGTGGGTTTAATAATGTCCAGAAGTGTTTTTTTGCAGATTATTATGATGTCACACTGATATTTAACCATCATAACTAATGTATGAATATTTGAGTTATGGCCAAAAACATGTTTTGCGAGGTCACAGTGACCTTTGACTTTTGATGACCAAAATCTAATCACTGTTTGTTGAGGTCAAGCGGACGTTTGTGCCAAATTTAAAGAAATTCCCCCTGGAGGTTCTTGAAATATTGCGTTCACAAGAAGGAGACAGATGAAAGGACACAGTGACCTTGACCTTTGACCACCAAAATCTAATCAGTTCATCCTCGAGTCCAAGTGGGTGTTTGTGCCAAATTTGAAGAAATTTCCAAAAGGCATTCTTGAGATGTCATGTTAACAAGAACAGAACGAAACGTTTTGTAAAACTTGTGAAATTTAAAAGTGCTGCAATTCTAAATGTATTCATAAACAAGTGAGACAATTTCCTGTCCAACGTTAATCTAAGTCATTACTAATTTAAGTGACAGTAAGTACAGTAACTGCATATTGCCATCTTTATCCAGATTAAGGCTATTATCACTTTCTCCTTTGCGCTTTGTCTTCTTAGCAGTCTTTTTCAATTATTGTCCGGGTTTGCACGGATATAAACATGGCAACCTAACCTTTTAAATTAGTGAAAATATACTGTTGATGCTCTTATAGAAAGAGCTACACGTGCATGTGTTGATGTGTGAGAGCAGTATAGATGAGGCAGGAATGAGGACAAAGGGAACTGACCTGAGGGCCTGGACCAGGTTGAGGTCGGAGAACTCGTGCAGCTCCACAAAGGCCTTCAGGGTCTGGAGGTGAAGCTCCTCCCTGTGGGACAAAAGGGGGGAGGGAGGCACTTAAAACCAGAGGAACGTATTAACTTTCTCTGTTGGAACCTGCCCTCAAATCTTTCTCTCCTCCTTCTGCTATTACGTGTATCCTTTTTGGCTCCTCTTTCTTCTTCCCCTCTTTTTTCTGTACAAGATGCCCCCCTTTACCACATCTTCCATCTGTCATGGCTGTTTTTCTTTTCTCCTTCCTTCCTTTCCATGTCTCTGTCATGAGTTTTACCTTTGTTTTTCCTTTGTCCCATCATTAATGTCTTCCTCCTTCTCCCTTCTCTACCCAATACCGTCTTTCTCTCTTCCTTTTACCCTTTTGTCTTAGTTCCCTCCTCATCCCTTTTACCTTACCTTACCTTTTTCCTTCTCTATTGCTCTTGACCCCCTTGTCTTCCATCCTCATTCTGTTTTCCCACTGTCCGTCCACTCCTCCTCACCTCTCTCCAAGAAATTCTCCAATGGCCGTCTTGTTGAGTCCCTCCTCCTTGTACAGGAACTCAGCGATGGACTGTGCACATCCATTTAGCAGTTTATTCTCCACCAGGTAACTGATACCCTGCACACACACACAAAGTAGATAGTTTACTGGACATACACATTTGTACTTCCGCGTTATTTTTATGACTTGTTATATTGCACCAATGGCTAAACTTGCATTTGTAAGAAGCACTTTTAGTTTATGACATAGTGCTTTAAACATATGCGCTAAACACACACACACACACACACACACACACACACACACAAATGCCCACTGAGCTGGTGGTTAAATGTATTTAGTTTCATAATGGTCTCATCTCCGGTTGGTAAGGCCAAGCAAGTTCGCAGTTTCTGTAATTCTGATTCCTTAAAACTAATTTCTCTTCCCCTTTCTCCTCCATCAGAGGGGTTAGAGAGGAAAAGGGGTGGTTAAAAATACATTTGCAATGGAAGTAAACTAAACACAAACCATCTCCAAAAGTAGAAATCTCTAACGCAGCATATTTGCTTGTGCCAACCTAGGTTAAAAAGACACTTCTGTGGCAAATAAGGCACGCGAGTCAGTTTTCGAAATACTGAAATTGCTGTATGGTGAAAGCAAATTGCTGAAAAACTCCTGACTAAATATCTCACGACATCTATTTTCGATATCACACTTTAATGTTGGTTCTAAAACTTGTTATTTCCCTGTAATCTTGGTCTAGGAATCTAATCTAATGTATACATTAAACATAAAAAGTTGATCTCTAAAGTCCATTTACAGTTCAGCTAACTTCACTAACTACACTTCAGAGCTAACTTATTCCAGTAAGCAGAAAGGGTATAACTTATATTTGTATTTACTGTTGCAAACATTTGCGTTCACAGCAGTGAGAAGCATGACGTGCTATTGAAACCACAGAAACTGTGCTGTGGACCTGCATCAGTGTCAGTTCACAGACTCAAAGCAGCTCCACTGTGGTTAAAATAGAGGAAGTCCACACAGTGACAAGCAAGAGCTGCTTGCTGGAGGTGTTAAAGCTCACTCACACAAAGAGACATGTATAAGTTTTTTTTTTTTATAAACCATTCAAGAATAGCAAGGAGTCATTTCTGACCAAACATTATGCTAATCATGCTTAAACATGTTCACTTCATGAGAACATCAACAGACACACACACACACACTCCTGAGGTCACCTTTTTGGGGTCCATGTTGAATTTCTTCTTCCCATTTGAGAACTGTTTGCTCTTCTCTATGGTTTTGCTGCAGGGAAAGCAACATTGAAGAAAAAAAAAATCAATAATGGTCAAAAGCAGTCTCACAAAACCAAATGGTTTGTATGGAAAAGTCTTAAGTTCACTCTTTATTATTTAGTTATATTGTATTGTGGACTAGCCTCGACCCAACATACTTTGTCATTGAGGGTTTCTTTTATCTCTAATTTATGTCTTGACGAAAAGCTGCAACATTATACTATGGTTTTCAGTCTGTATTCTTAGCAGCCCATACTGTTATATACTGTGCTCAAGTAACATAGGACAATGTACAAGTGTGCAGAAACTTTCCCTCCCACGAGTTTTTTAAAGAAGCCCATATACTCATGGGAGCTGCAGGTACTTAAAATAATAGTTGCTCTATCTTTGCCGAAACACTGAGGAGCTCAAATGTAACTATCCAGTCCAGTCACAGCTTTGGCTTAAAGAATTAGTTCCACATTTTGAGAAACATGCTTATACGCTTTCTTTGTAAGGGTTAGATGAGAATATCAGCACCACTCAAGATACAACTAGCAGCCGTTTAGCTTAGTTTAGCATAGCATACAGACTGTGGTCGTGGAAACAGCTAGCCTGGCTTTGTACACATGTAACAAAATCTGCAAGCACCCCTTGAGCTCACGAATTAAAGGTTCAGTGGGTAGGATTTTGAGGGATATATTGGCAGTGATATCACAAGTATGTATTCTTTGGTTTATAATCACCTAAAAATAAGAACTGTTATGTTTCTCAAGCGAGGCAGTTCAAGTATCTTGGGGTCTTGTTCACGAGTGAAGGTAGAATGGAACGTGATATGGATTGGCGGGTCGGTGCGGCTTCTGCAGTGCCGGTCCGTCATGGTAAAGAGGGAGCTGAGCCGGAAAGCAAAACTTTCGATATACTGGTCCATCTATGTCCCAACCCTCACCTATGGTCATGAACTCTGGGTAGTGACCGAAAGAATGAGATCGCGGATACAAGCGGTGGAAATGAGTTTACTCCGTGGGGTGACTAGGCTCAGCCTTAGAGATAGGGTGAGGAGCTCAGACATCCGGAGGGAGCTCGAAATAGAGCCACTGCTCCTTTGCGTCAAAAGGGGACAGCTGAGGTGGTTCGGGCATCTGATCAGGATGCCTCCTGGCCGCCTCCTGGTGGAGGTGTCCCAGGCACGTCCCACTGGTAGGATGCCCCGGGGCAGACCCAGAACATGCTGGAGGGATTACATATCTTGTCTGGCCTGGGAGCACCTCAGGGTCCCCCAGGAGGACCTCAAAGTATTGCTTTGCTCGGCCTGATGCCCCCGCGACCTGGCCCTGGATAAGCGGATGAAAATGGATGGATGGATGTTTCTGATACCTTAGAATGAGCCAATTATATCTATGTAGGACGCAGGTCCTCATCTACAGTTAGTCTACACTGCCTCCAGTAGCCCAGAATGGACAAACCAAACACTGGCTCTCGATGGGACCACGCTGGCCACTGTAGTTAGCAGCCCCTCCACGACGAGAGCATCTTTTTTTTATGTAAAACTGCATTATTCAGTATTTTACCGGTTAAAATCACCTGGTACATTTGTTCTGGAGAGGAAGTGACCTCTGCTGATAATTCGGCACTGGTAAAAAACTCCTGGATGTCAAAATCTTAAGTTATCAGAGAAAAAAAGTTAAGCAAACATTAGCAGGTGCTGGGCGAGCGACCTGTCTCCGTTGTGCCGAACGGCGTCGCAGAAACACTGATTTGTATCAGCAACTGCTTTATTCGGTGTTTTTACCGGTTTAAATCACCTGGTCTGTTTGTTTTGGAGAGCAAGAGACCTCTGCAGATAATTCGGCTCCTGGTTATAACCTCCTGAATTATAAACACTGAAGCAGTTCTAACAAGGGGTTGGTTTCAGCTGGTTGCAATTTGCAATCCTCACCACTAGATGCCACTAAATCCCCCTAAATTTAACACACTGAACTGTTAGCATGCTATATCTTGTTTGTTTAATCCACACAAAAAGCGTAGGTGGGATTTGTGTGGGACTGTATTTCCTTTTAAAACAGGATGTCAGGAGGGAGGCAGTCTGATTCAACAGGTAGGAAGGTGGGATTGTTGACAAATTTGAGATCTACTTTACTGTATGAATTTTTCAGTTACATCCACAATGCAGCATCCTTAAAGCTCAAATTTTAATGGGACCAATACAACAAATACTTTGTGGAAACTGTATTTTCTTTAACAGTGTCTTGAGCAACTCGATTGTTATACATTGAGAGCTAACATTTTTGGGGACAGTAGATGACGCAGAGGTGGGTGAAAGTTGTTGAAAAGAAACTAAAATGTGTGACAATGAAAAAATAATTAGGAGTATTAAGTGGGAGTCGGTAAAAGAGGAGTCATATAAAAAGAACCTTTAGTTTGTAAGGTAGGGGTGGGGGATTTTCCCAGCGCAAAACTCACTTTTCCTCTGCTGACTCAAAGCTGAGGATATCCGCCATGACGTTGTCTATCTGCATCTTCAACTTCTAGATAGATCAGGATGAAAGAAAAGTCTTTAGTATGTTTTCCCTTATTTTCAAAATCATGACAAGTCACTTTCCACAGTGATTTTTAAACTAAAATTCAAATTTTTTTGGGGCTATCAAATGCGTTTTAGGATGACAAAGTGTGTGCATATGTACCTGGATATCATCCAAAAGGTCCTTCTTATACGTCTTAATGCTCTCAATCTCCATCTTCTCATCTGCTGTAAAATCTGAGGAAACTTTACAAACAAAACAAAAACTTTACGAACAAAAACGTTAAATGGATTCTCAGGAATTTTAATTATGTAATTCATATATAATCAGCCCACTAAACTTATATTACATCAGGATACTCAGTTAAAATGATGACATATCTAGTTTAATCATCCTTTCCTGGCTTCTTTTGAAAGAGTATCAGCAGATTTGTGGAAAGACACGCAAACTGTCATTTGGATAAGGAAACGATGACATTTTAATGATCTTGTTTCTTCTTCTTCTTTGAAAAATTACCTTCACTCTGTTATGTTTGATTTGAATCCACACAAAGTATCACTGTATTGTATATTCAAAGATAGCCACAGCATGAGGAAGAGAGATTTCTATGGAAGATACAGTATGTGAGACAGGTGGTGTGGTTTTCTCATTAAAGATATCAGTCACCGATAAATATAAACATAAATACATTTCTTGAAAAACAAGGCATGAGCATAGAAACACATGGATACATATTCAAATACAGCTAACAAGCTCTGTGGATGAAGTCCATTTCCTATTTGCCAACCACTATCCCTGCCCACTCCCACATTAGAGTTGCACAATGACATACAGAAGTGATGTGGTATGAATCATGAAACCTTACAGTCATTACAAGAAAAAGTTTCATCGAGGCGTTGTGGTTGGTTAGTAATCTATACTTGAGGGTTGCTAGGGTACATATAATGACTCTATTAATAGCCATGTGTCCCTGATCTTTAGTGATAAATTACAGTTTTAGGTTTATATCATTAATCCACAGGAGTTATTGTCTTGGTGAACAGTCTAACTATTGTAGTTTAGCCCACTACATTGCTGGATTCAATTATGAGGTTACCTATGACTAAAGTAAGAATATCAGGAAACATAAGAGTCTACAGCCAAACAAGCAGCTCTGAGTGTAGATAAATGCAGCAAACCAAATGCTAATATCCATATTCCAACATGTTCACAATGGTAATGACATGCTGACGCTATGCAGGCATAATGCTTGCCATGTTTACCATCTTTGTTTAGTGTTTCAGCATGCTAACATTAGCTAATTAGCACTAAGCGCAAAGTACAGCTGAGGTCGAAGGGATGTGATTAGTTTTGCAGGTATTTCGTCAAGAAGAAGAAGTCAGAGGATAACCAAAGTCATAAGGATACATCCTCAGGTCACGATAGGTATCTGTACCAAATTCTGTGCCAATCTTTTACAAAGATCTTGAGATATTTCAAATGATTACTGACAATTTTGACCCTCTGGTGGCATAAGAGGAAAAGTCAATGGGTCACAAACAACACTAGGATTCATCCTCTGGGCACCATGACTGTCTCTTTGAAAAGCATTCATAGCAATCCATCCAGTCATCACTTGTTCAGATAATCCTCTTTTGCATTAGGTTTTTCTTACTTTGTTGCCTGAATTTGGATGTTTTTCCCCTTCAAAATTACTATTTGTCTCATAGAATTCTAACTTTCTCTTCAGAATATTAAAATCAACATCAGTACTTCTTCTTTTTTTATTTGTTTGTACGGAAGTGGTAAAAGACACTGATACACCTGGCATTAAAAAGTATAACCACATGACTTGTCAGTTCAAGATATCTTTCTCTGGCACCTGCAAAGCTCGTTTGTATTTCTGAAAATGTGTCTTCTGATGCACAGGCTAATTTAAAAACATTTAATATCTTATACACATAAACACTAATGACTCTCTCTTGATTTTTCTTAAAAACCACCAGACATAAGAATCTCATAACCTTGTGTCTGGTGTATTTGGTTGTTGCATTGTTAATATTGGAACAAAGGAATTGGATAAAAAGTGGTGTGTTCACTGAACATGCCCATATTTCTGATGAACAGTGAACTGAACTCATCTGTTTGCAACTTAAGAACTTGAACATAAGCACTGTTCACTTTTGCGGCAGTGAGCGATGCTTGGCTTACACCATCCAAGGATTTACAGTACCCTGCATGCTGACACAACACTAAGGACAACACTGGCAGACAGCACAGCTACCGGCACTGCTGAAGCCAGTTCACGTGGATATTTTATGGACTTTTTTGAACAAGTCAGTCAGTTGCAGAATCCAACAGAAGAATAATCACAAGTTCAAATGTCATTCACAACAAATTTGGAGCAACACATCTAGTTGAACCATTCGACCAGCCTTGGGAAATATCTGTAAGTGAATGATGATCACAAGATTTTCATTCATTCATTCATCTTCTAACCGCTTCATCCTCTTGAGGATCGCGGGGGGGCTGGAGCCTATCCCAGCTGACATCGGGCGAGAGGCAGGGTACACCCTGGACAGGTCGCCAGACTATCGCAGGGCTGACACATAGAGACAAACAACCATTCACGCTCACATTCACACCTATGGACAATTTAGAGTTACCAATTAACCTAGTCCCCAATCTGCATGTCTTTGGACTGTGGGAGGAAGCTGGAGTGCCCGGAGAGAACCCACGCTGACACAGGGAGAACATGCAAACTCCGCACAGAAGGGCTCCCACGCCCGGGATCGAACCGGCAACCCTCTGGTGCTAACCACCACACCACCGTGCTGCCCCATCACAAGATTTTATTTCATTTAAATTGGATGGGAGACATAAAACTTAACTAGTCCATTTTTGTCAGACCAGCTTAGTTATAAATTCGGAGTCTGAAATACAAACTTGAATTAGTTCATTTTTAACTGTGTGAACAGAACTTAGAGCGAGCTATTTCGCAGTGTAAACACGCACAACCTTCTTTCTTGCTACTTTTTTGGGGAGGATGATCAGCTGCAAATACTGCATGTAGTGAGTATGTAGTGAGTAGTGAGTGAGTTTTTCTAAAAAGGGAGCTTTAGAAAAAGTCAGCGTGCAGATGGCGACTCCCACAAGATAAAAACAGAAGTAATGTAAATGTCTTTCCCATCTGCGTAGAAGATTTCATGATAAACACAGCAGAGTGTATTCGATATGCTGCTGGTGGTACTAGACATGAGAGCATGAGCTCTGTGGTGCCTCCGTATTTGTTCCACACAGTAAGAGACACCAACATCTAAGTAAAAGATTGCATCCTCAGTGAGAAACAATCCTTGCACAACATAAAGTTAACAAAACCCTAACTACCAACACTTCCTGTAGATATTATGTGAGCTGTTTTGAGCTAATGATCTCAACCACAGGACTTCCACATCCCCACCCTTCCTTTACACACCTTGTGCAACAACGCTGACAGACACAAGTCATCTAATTCTTCATTTGCATAATTTAGATTTTGGCTTTGGCCTGAGAAGTAACTGTGGACATAAAGTGGATATCTTGACACCATGGCTTTAGAGGTAGATTGTTTAGATGTCTAACTAAAGATAGCAACTTCTGTTTTTATATTATTATCAGTGGTGTGTGGTCCTGTGAGTTCTGAGTGTGACAGCCTCTTCCCCATTTCAGCTGAGACAACACTGTCCGCCCTGTGCATCATTTTACCACAGGGTGGAGGTTGCGATCAGCGGTATACCAACAACTGTTCCCCAATAACCTATTTATCTAAAAAAAAAAACCTGGTTTCATGGATCGATTGCACCAGGGAGACTGAAAATTATTTTGTAATGTATTTCTATTATAATATAGAAGGGTGTGAGGAGATGGAAGTTGTCACTAAACAGCTGGGACATTATTTAAAATGAAGGTTTCATTGTTTCATGTCTGTTTTGTGTCATGAAACCCAGTGTATCGACAAATTACAACTCTAGTATTACAAATATCGAGTGCATTGACTCCGACAGGATAGCACAATATCTCATCATATGTAGGAATAAATTAAAAGACAACTGATACATGTGAAAAGCAAAACACAGTTGATAATGTATCACTTATGCCTCAATGTGAAATATCATACAACACATTTTTAGCCACACATTTAACAATAGAATACTGGCAAATGTTTTAAAGTCTCTGTGGATATGTGACATGAAATATGAAATGTGAGACCCAGCAATAAAAGTGAGAAGAGAGCAAAACAGGTCTTACCCATTTGGCTATCAGTCATTTATATCCAAGTAGAAAAACGAAAATTGGCAATGCCAAAACAGTTACATGCAGTCAAACTGAGATATCAAGACAGACAGACTACCACGGCACACAGTGCAGTGACACTTGAATGAAGTAGTTGATCTTTTTTAACCCCTCCTCTTCCCTATACATGACAATGTCAGACAAAAAAAAAACGTGTAGAACTTCCTTCAAATTAAAACCCCAACTGAAGAGTCCATGAAGTAAAGCAATCAAGGAGGGTTAGATTTTAGAAATTATTTGGGGGGTGTAAGACCTCAACAACAAAGACAAAGCTTGTGTTATATTGACCTGTCACTGACAATATGATTAGAACAAATAAAACTGTAGATACAAAAGAGACTTCTAGAAAAAGGGAGGCAGCATTCAACCATGTGAAACAGTATTAACACAGCCCTGTAATTTGCTTTTTTGTGGCTTGAATATAACATTTTGTAGAGACTTGTAGAGACTATGTGTTTTGAAATTTGGTTGGACAGTGAAACTCGGTTGCAAAACACAGTCCAGGCCAGGAAGTGAGTTTTGAAAGCCAGGAATATCGTCACATGGTGAGGTAAGCGTTGCAGCACTGACACTTCAGCAGTGACAGAAATTGTTGGGTCATCCAGAGCTATATGTTAACAGATGAATTCAGTTCCAGTTTATTCTCTTTTAACTGCAAATGAGACACTTTTATTTTGAAGATCAGATCATCTTCCTTCTTGGTGTTCTAACTCAGGCTGCCTTGACAGTTAGAACCTTTATTTAGCACAAAAGTCATGAGTGGTTAACCATGTGAAAAACTATCTGACTGTAGACTTCTCTTCATCAGGTGGTTTTTGATACTGATGTTGAAATAAATGACTAAAATATAAAGACAGCCTCACTAAAAACAAATAAATGCAATCTTAGATTAAATTGTAAAGTCCTCTTAGGACATAATTACCATCCTTATAGTTTAAGGATAAGGATATTTTTATCCTTATAGTTTATCATAATTAATCTGTTACACTTCTCAACTGTTTGCCTACAGTCAAAAACATTTTCCTACTTAAGAAAGATTAAATGAAGATGCAAATGTGAATTGGTCTCATAGTTGAACAAACAGCTCATCTACTGTATGTACTCTGAGTTTTGGACATAATAAGTAATGAGGAAAATGATGCAGAAGTGCCATCTAGTGATAGTAGAGGAATATTACAGGCATTGTCATTTGTAGTGTATGATCAGGAGTGTGTGGAGATGTGTGTATTGCTTATTTGATTACATTAATTTCCATTTTCTACCGCTTTACAAGTTTAAATCAAACTTAAACTGTGTATGTGTGTTTGTAGTGGCAGTAGTAGCAGCAGTAGTGGAGGTGTTTGTGAATTACTATGGTTATTTTATCTTAAATCTCCTGTCGCATCACTTTACAATTGAAATATATGTAGGTGTGTACTTATACCTGCTACATAGTAAGGACCAAAAGCTGTATTTTAGCAACAGAGTGAGGACGTTTTTGGAAAGTGAGGACATTTTGGCCAGTGCTAACATCTTCAAAGGCCTGTTTGAGGGTTAAGACTTGGTTTTAAGGTTCAGGTTAAGGCAAGGATTGGTGTTAGGCATTTAGCTGTGATGGTTAAGGTCAGGGTAAGGGGCTGGGGAATGCATTTTTGTCAACAAGAGTCCTCACAAAGATAGAAGTACGAGAATGTGTGTGTGCAGCAGAGGTGTGACCAAGTTATTGTTTTACAAGTCACAAGTACTTCTTAAGATCGTCCAGACTGACGAGCCCCAAGTTAAATTCCAAATCCTAAACCTTGAGTTTCGAGTCCTAAACAAGTCACAATGCACTCTTCACCACATGTAATGCCATTTTAACAACATAGCTATAATATTTAAAATTTAGTAAGATTATGAATGCTTTATAAAATGTGTGTTAATTTGTTAAATGTTGTTGTGTCTCTGTCTGATATTCTTATATAGTTTTGCATACTGCAATTAGTCTTTTGTTTTCCAACTGCCGCTCAGTAACAGCATTATTTCTTTATGGTTCTCTTCTGCAATTTGACTGGATGCGGTCCAATTGGCGTCAACTTGCATACTTTTTCATCTTTAAGCTTGGGGGAAGGTATCATGTATTTTCAAGTCAAAAGGCTCAAGTCCAAGTGAAGTCAAAATTCGGTGATGTTACAGTACAGGTCGAGTCACAAGTCATGAGTTAAAGTCCAAGTCCAGTTACATATCACTGCTGTTATGAGTCTTTTGATTGAGTCGAGTCTGAAGTCATCACATTTGTGACCTGGGTTTGACACAAGTTACAAAACTTGACTTGACTTGACACCTGTGGTGTGTGGTAAAGTAGCAGTAGTAGAGGTTTTTGTAATATTCTTATATATTGCTGTTTTTTTTCTTCTTTTTCATGACATTATAAATTAAAATTAAACAAACTACTTTAACTTTATTGAAAGTAAATTTTAAAGTAAACATTAATGAATATGTGTGTGTGTGTGTGTGTGTGTGTGTGTGTGTGTGTGTGTGTGTGTGTGCGTGCGTGCACAGACATGCATGACTGCAAACCAAAGAGGAAGTTTTAAATAAAGCTCATTGTTATAGTTGCTGCATTGTCAACCTTTCAAAACGCTTCATGTCACAGTTCTTATTTATTGACTGTCCTCTGACAACATCCAACACATTTAATCTGTATTGTAAACCATTTGTGCACTGCACTTGCACGACTTCTGTTGTTAAGAAGAAGAAAAAACACAACAAAGCCGGAAGGTGAGATTGGTGCAAAAATGAAGGAAGAGAGACTGAGAAAGAAAGGGAGGGGAGTGAGGGAGGTGTGTAACAATTTCCTGTAGTTGCATACTGATCTGCGTCTCTGAACCTTCCTCTCTGAGTCTGTTTCTGTCACAGTGAAGAGTGGAGACGAAGCTGAGCGGAACAGGATGCAGGCTATCAAATGTGTGGTCGTGGGAGATGGGTACGCCATTATTTTTCTTTACCATACATTTACATTGTTAAAACTTTAGCTGCCTTCAAGTGTTGAATCAAGCGGTGTTAACCCAGCTGACGCATGATGGAGAGGTTCAGCCCTCAGGCACAGAATTTAAGGTTGTTTGATAAAAATGTCAAAGCTTTACACATGGCCTGAACAGCCTCGACTAACAGTTTTGTCAACTTCCGTAGTGATGTGGCTGAGTGATGAGGTGTTCACTCAAAAAAACTTACAGCTGCTGTTCTCTTAAACTAGAACACAGTCCGCACAGTGTTATGTGGAGATCTTTAGGTGTGTGTGTTTGACAGCGCTGATTCAGAGTGAGCATGCTGGATGGTACAGGCCACAACATGCAGGAAAATGCTGAAATGCGGCAAGCTCAGAGCAGAGACTCCTCACTGTAGACGGAAATCCAAGAAATGATTCAAAACTGTGGCTCTTACAGTGAAGCACAGAAAAGCCAGAAAAGAAGACAATAAAAGAGTTTCTGTTTGCACTCTGTAGTCTTAGAAAACCTGCTGATTTTCTTCACTTTTAAGACTTAATTGTAGTCTCAGAACAAGTTTGGACATTGTGTCTTCAACCAAATTAGAAAGACTAACTTCTACTCTTCTCTTCAGGGCTGGGGCAAAAGGGCTGGCTGTCATGATGGGGGAAATTGTAAAGCGGAAGTACTATAGCTGTTGCTGCAAGAGCACAGTTACACACAATTAAACATTTACAGGTACCTGACAGATACCATAGCTCCATTTCCTTGTGTGTTGAGCTTCCTGGTTTGTGTTGAGTGTGACTCTGATTTGAACTTAAACAATGAGCAGGGAGACTGAACCCTGTCATTACTTGAGAAGAGAGACATTTTGTGATACTATGATTTAATTTAGCACACTAAATATGAAATGAAACAGCATTTAGGATGCTAAGTTGCAGACTTTTAGCTTTGTTTTGGAGCTGAAAACACCATTAAAAATGTCACTGTCGCCTCAGAAGCAGCAAAGGACAGATAGTGGGAACATTGTGATCGAATGGTGGACCAAGGTGGACGAATCGGTCAACAAAACCAGGGACTTTAAAAAAGACAGTCAACGTTGATTCCCTTTTAACCATAACCACAGTGATTACATAACCAAGTGCTTATCATTGTTACCATGACAACAGAGGTGCCCTGATCTTGACAAAGTCGTACTTTACCATGATCTTAACTTAACCCTAACCAAGTATTCTAGGCTAAAAAAAATCTGTCTTCTTTTTAAAATAGAGATGTCATCTGACAATAGCGGCGGAAAATGTGGATCAGAAAATGCTTGTGTGTGTCACTCTGGCGAGCATGGACCAACGCAGTATTTTGTTGTTTAATTTGGGGGATTTGTTGTCAAAAAAGATCTTAAAGGGATGCTTTGTCAATTTTCAACCAGCTTTGTGTCACAACAATGTGAGTAGTGTATGTAAATGAAAGATGGTAAACTTCCCTCAATCTTACCAGTGCCTAGATCTCCCTGTTCATCTCCCAGCTCAAGTCCGCTGGCTCTGTGGCTGTGGCTCGAACTACAGGTCGTATTTCGGCATTTTCATTGCCCGCTACTACAGACACAAATAGTATAGAAGTGGATCCAGAGAGAGTCTCTAAAACGCAGACCAAACTCAGCTCAAACTGTAAAACCAGGCAGTGCCGATCAAATATAAACCAAGATTCTGTTACTGTATTGCCTATTTCTTGCCCAGAATGCCTTCAGAAATATATTTTAGTGCATTGTTTGGCTGAAATACGAGAATTTGTGAAAAGGCACACATTCTCACTCCGACCTCGTCACATATCGCCATGTCAACATATGACGTGCAAGGTAGCCTGGATGAATCGGTTGTTGACGTCCTGGGATGCCGTGTCCACTTCAACCTGTTACATTCATTGTGTCTTTTCAGAATAGACTTCCGTTTTCCAGGAAATGTAGTTTGCATACAGTCTCTTTCAAAGTAAACGTACTATGCAGCGAATTGACGTTTTATTCCTTCAACAACAAACGCACGTGGTTACATTTAGCCAATATATGCACATGGTTAGGTTTAGACAACAAAAGCACGTAGTTGCGTTCAGAAAAAAATAACTGGGTTTGGCTTTACATTTACACGGGAAGTGAACACTGGCCTCTTGGGTGAAGGTTAGTGATTGTCGGACCCCTCTCACCCACCCTACTGGCACTGTTCACCCCCTTAACTTACACTGTTTCACAGTCACACTTCCGCGACACCATTAAGGCTCATTTATGCTCAATGTTAAATATGGATCCGGATACGGACAGAGCCTTCTGTCTGTGCTCCGTGTTCATTTCTTCCGTATTTCTGCATTTCCATAAAGCTTACAGATACGGGCCAAACGGAGCAGTATCACCGGAAACCGTGGGGGCAGTGTTGCTGTCACTACCTGATACGTAGCTCTAGTGAGACACGAAGAAGAAATAACAATAGCAAAACTTTTTGAGGAAAGGTTGTGCGAGTTAGTTAGAAACTATAAACATCTCTATGATGTTTAACGGCCTCACCGACCACCGCCTCCTACAACGCTGCCTCTGTTTTTGTCTTTTATGCAAGAGGTACATTATCAATATCTCTTCCACAGTCGCCATGTTTGTTTTTGAGTTTGTTGTTTGCATAAACTTTTGACTCTGGGTTGCCTCCTGGTGGATATATTGGTTAACATCCATGCCAACGTAAAGGGCACATGGAAGTATGTGGGCAGTGACGGTAACATCATTTGAAACGGACGTAAAGGGAGCATAAATGGGCCTTTAGGCAACATTACACACTGACGGCACCTGGCTGCGTATCATGCTGACATGAAAAGACAGCTTTTTCATCAGTGTCTGAGGCGGTAGTCACTGCCCAAGCATTGGTATTCCACAACTTCCGAATGAGACCAGGTTGGAACAGGGAGTGGGCGCCATACTGTTTCCTGTATATGAAAAACAGAAGCTGAAAATAATAGGATCAAATGGTAATGCTAAGCAGTGCTGATCAAACATAAACCAAGATTCGGTTACTTTGTTGCCTATTTCTCACCTAAAATGTTTCCAGAAACATATTTTAGCTGAACATTTAACTGTAATTCAAGATTGATTGATACCAGCTCGCCACCATATTGCTTCCTGTAGAAAATCGGCCAAGCTCACGTTACATTACCCACCAGCAGTAGCGTTTATTGTTCCGGTGCAGCAGAGAACATTCTGGTAGGTGTAGATTTTATACCTCTTGATAAAAAGTAAATACCATAGCTCTTTTTCTCTGGTAATATAGCACTAGTTCCAAAAGTATTTGTGTCTTTCTACAGGATAGACAGACTAATTTTATGAAAAGACCATCTTTACAGTAGTGAATTACTTTAATCTTTACGTCAATACCTGTACCGTACAAAGACAAAAACAAAAGAACATGTATCGTGTCCAAAAACATTGTATCTTGGCTTTTCGTGGGATTGTGTTTTACTGTGCTCATAAAGTTCAGGGGTTATTTTGATAAAACATATTTCTTTTATTCTTTAAAAGCTTTTATTTTGAAAATACAACCTCATGGTATCTATTTAATCACAGCATCTGCCATGGTTGCTGTCCAGAGCTTGACCCAGATTGTATCATAATCCTCCCATTGCTTCCTTGAAAACACACCAACACAAAGCCAAGAGGTGCAGGCCTGCAGAGAACACCAACCATGGAAGAATTAATGTCAGAAATGTGAAGAAAAGAATGTGCAGACAGCTTGGAGCTCTGCCAAGTTTTACACCTGTGAACACCTGGCCAATAACTGCAGAAAGTATTGATTTGTTGGTTATTAAAAACTGCAAAAACTGGGTGAAAATAATTCAGAATAACCCTGCAGTAATGTCTGAGAGGAGCTGTATAGATAGTCCAAACAACACTAAGAGAGTACTGGTATACTGGTCTCATGAGAGCTGGGAAGCCGCCAGTTGAAGCTGGTGGTGGTATGAGTAATTTCTGCCATGATTTTTTATGTTTTGATCAATTCTGGTCGGAGCTAACAAAGCACCATGCCGCAACCTCTGCAAACACCCTTTGCTGCAGCAGCAGTTTGACTTTGGGGCTCCACCAGTTTCACAGATGTTGGTGCAGGTGGACCTTGTGGGGACAGTTCAGTCTTTTAAAAGAAACTCAGCAGCTTCATTGTCTGGGTGGTGTATGTGAACACGTGTTTGTGACTACACCAGGCGTTAAAAATGGGATTTAAAGCTTCTGTTTACAGAGAGAGAAGAGGAAGTTGGTCTCAGGTTGTACGGAAGTCTGCTGTTTCTCAGCCAGTCACTGAGTTCATACAAGCTGCTCATATATGGCCCTATTATAATGTTGGCCTGTTGGATGGGTGAATGGATGGACTGTTCCGACAACAGTTTAATTTAATTAAATAAATACTGTGTGTGTATTCTTGAGGTCTATCAAACAGTCCTAGTGCATTTCCTTCCTCATAGTATTTGTGCACAATCATGTTGACTAGCTCGCAGTATTCCTCTACCCTGCCTTTGCTGGCACATTGCTGGCACCTTGGCATGTTGCCGCCACCTGTTGATCAGAGGAATAGTGAGACACCATTGGTTAGGCTGTGTATTTTGTCACCCATGTGCATTGGGACAAAATGGGGACAAAAAAAAAACAGTTAACAGAGGTCTAAATCTCCACAGGGAACCTATGACAAGCAGCAGCCTGTTGGTCTTTGAGAAATTACAAACCCTCATAAATTTACCATATTTCAAATTCTAGTGGAGATCCAAAATTTCTTGAATTTTTTCCCTGTCAGATGAATTTTTCCTTATCTGCTGGGTGGTGTATGCTGTACAGAGTGTAAAGCTCCCTGAGGCAGATTGAGATTTGTGACATTGAGTTGTATAAATAAAATTAACTTGACTACCAAATATGGCAGGCTGTATTTAATGAAATATGTCAAAAAAATCACGGAGATGAATGTAATAATCTCATGTGATGGAATTA